TTTTATATTTACTATTCGAGGATTATATTTTTGAACAATTTAAATTTCATTAAATTACTAAAAATTGTTTTAAAAATTGCTACACTGAAAAGATATCACAGAACTCAAAAGTTTAATATATTTAAATGTTTAATTATTAGCATAGTATGATGTATCTCATTCTCATAACTATAATAAGTTATAAATTGGTTTATTTTTGATAAATCGACCATCTGCATTTGTATAAATACAATAACATAAGCGGTGTATAGTGTGTGCCAGATGTGCGTACCCCATGGCCCGTGGCATTTTTGCGTGACTTTCATTCATTCGAGGACTTAGTTTAATTTTTAAGCTAAAAATAGTAAAAATACACGTAATTTATGAGGATGAGATATGAACAACTTTAGGTAACCAGTAAAATAAATCAATCAGCAATCATGATATTACTTATCACTGTCATTCTAAAGTGTGAATTATTGTGTAACATTAATAATAATAAGAATAAGAAATATAGATATTAGGTATAAGCTTTATTATAAAAATATATCTATACATTTTTTCAATAATTATCTATTTGTTGAAAATATGAACTAAAAACCAATACGAATTATTACGAATTATTATGAATTAATATAGTGTATATTTTCCCTTTTTGTGGTAAGGTTCATTTTAAAGGAAAGCGGCTCAATTTTCTTCATGGCATACCATAAACCAAATTCCTGCACACGCCTATATATAATAAAAACTGTGGTATATATACAGCATAATATTATATATCATAGCGAGGCGTAAGTGATGTAACTTAAGTGTCATTATTTTATTTTATAAAAAAAAAATAAAGGAAAAAAAAAAAAATAATAATACATAGTACCTGAGTAGATGATATTACATTAGTTTAATTAAGAAAATCCAAAGGCCAATCTCGGGGGAGTTTCCGGAAGTGAAAGTGAAGAGGTTTGAGATGAGGGGATTATAATGTTTATAGAGGCGGTTATGAAATTTATTGTAATGTTGTTAAGCCATGTCACTGATTAAAATAAAGTTATAACTTTACGAAATGGGTAATTCTTACATAAATGATATACGCGGTTTTTTGTATTGAGAATAAAGACAGTAAAAGTTTTTACGGAAATGTCATCAGTGGGCGCATGTCCTCTCTTCAAGAGAACTAAGCTAAATTTAATTCTTACTAACCTCATCTAATCTAATTATAAAATTACTTGATAGATTGCTTAATACAAATAAAATACAAAAAACAGAAGTTATAGGTTACACAATTTGACAAAGAATATTTTCATTGATAATAATTGATACCTACAAGTATTTCATAAGTTCATAATATGTTACATAATATAGTTTGATACACACTAAAGTAATTGCAATAAATACAAACCTACATATGTTAATAGAATCAAAATAATGTTAAAACTAAATGAACTAATATGAAATTAATTATCAAATTATTCAAATTGCTTCATAAACACGATGTATTGTATACGTAATGAACCCATATAATTGTATTGTATAATTTCCATACCCTGCAGGGACTAAAACACTCGGCTGATCCTTTTGTTTTATACATAGTCATATTATCATACGTCTATACATAGTATTTGAGTATTAGTAAAACTCCTAAGTACTTGTTGCACATATATTTATAAACTAACGTTTGCATACACAAATTAAATCACATAATACATGTATACACTACTTTAATGAATAATTATTTTCTAAAATCTAAATGATTCTGAGAGAAACATTTTTAATTCAAAATTGCTGTTATTATGCATTTGATTACATTTTTGAAGTATCTACATTATATTAAAAGGTATTTGATGGTGTATTGTATACTCCAGCTCTCATTAGTTATCAATTACCTTTGTTCTCTTATTACGTTTACAACATGATAGGATTTACGTTTCAAATTCAAATACACATAACTTTATAAGCATGTCGAACCCAAGTATATGTATGTACAGTTGTTTCCAACTTACTAATAAATAACATACATCAAATTTAAAGTTTTGAATTTTAAAATTATACATTACAAAAACATCAAGTATCCTACTTCTAGAAACTAAAATAATATTACATTTAAATTAGATAAAAGGTTAAAATAGAAAAAAATAGATTGTATTTTGAACGTAAAATTAAAATCATAAAACACAAAGAATACTAGAGATTATAAGAAAAAATAATTTATTTAGGTTTATAGTATATAATTGGCATTAGCAAATAACAGTTACGTTATGTCATTTTCGTTATGTACTCTGCGGACTTGATTGTTATCATTGACTGCAATGGTGATGGTGGTGTGGTTTAATGCACGAGTAAATTTCGTTCTATATTATAATCGATTTTTCTACTTTATTCAATTTGAATTTTGATGATTCGTGAAAACTTCCTAAATCTAATGATGCGGAGGTCCCAAAAATATTTATTTGTAATAATCAGTTATAAATATTTTATAATTACCAAAATATCTAGGAATTTTTCACCTATAAACGTTGTTGATTGCACGAAAATATTTAGTGGTAAAAATCCGAATAGTCAAGTACACTTATAATTATACAGTATACACAGAAAGCTATTATTAGGTTAGGTTAGGTACCAAATAACTATTTATAAAGAAGTGTTTGATATTTTCTTCGCTACACAATAAAAACATTGTATCATCATGTTTTTGGTAATTGTTGTTCTAATGTATCAAATAAAGCCAAAATAAATTCTAATAATACAAACACAGTTAATTGCATAATTTAAATCAATTAACAAAATACTTTTTATTCACTTATCAATGTTTGGTTACCGTTGCAATTATCGCAGAGATTATCAAGAAAAATTAGATTAGAAAAAATTCGGTAAAAAAAAAAAATAATGCTTTATTCAATCCAAAAATGTATCGATCTATAAATATTAAAAGGCAAAAGTATTATAATTGTTATTTCGTCATAATTATAAACGATATCACCTTAAATAAAGAATTAGGCCCGCTGTACATGGACACATTTTAGACGCATATTGTACGACGTACCTACTTTGCGTTTTGGTTTTAATATTAAAGTTCATACGCGTCAGACCGATGATGGCACATTTCTTTCGTCGGTAGACGGTGCGATTGATCTTTAGCAATGAAAATCGAAAATACGCTAACAAAATTTGTACATGTGAAACGGGCCCTTAAGGATATGGTCAGTAATCTAAATTATCGATTTCCCGTTATACTTTATGAAGACAAATAAACCCTATAGATCATAGTGTATTATATTGCAATTTGCTATATAGTACCTATTTATATAATATATAATTAAGTCAAGTAATTGGATTTAAATATTTACCGAGTTAATGTTTAGTATATTTCATACCACGGTACAGTACTGCAAATATTTTAAGTCTCCATAAATAGAGAAGGGTTTAATCGTTTTTGTCAAATATCGTTAATAGGTACACGTAGGTAAACACGGATAAAGGTCACACCAGAAAGAAGAGAATATATCGATGGCGTTTACTGTGGGTGCGTGGACGTGTCATATCCCCGTCTAACAGTTACTCAGGTCTTATTAATCCTGAATATTGGCTGGCTCGATTGGATTTCTTACTCGCCCAAAAGAAAACATACTGAATACAATTTAATATTGTTTATTTATTACCCGTATAAAAAAAAATGTATATATTATTCTATTAATATTTAATATTATTATAGTAGAACAGTACCTAAAAATATTTTGTTCATAGTGTTCGTAAATAATATTGTTTTACATTACGGTTAGTAGACAAATAATTTTATAAATATCTAATAATAGGGCGGGTATGGACAACAAATACCTATCAAATAACCAGTCATAATATTATTTATATTATAACACAAACACACCAATTCTAGGAAACAGCATGCCACGCTTGGTCGTGGTCGAGATTAAATTATAGTGTAAAACGCAAAAACCATATGGAATAACAAACGTTTATATTATATAAATGACCCGTTAATATTTTTTTGACTCCTTATAAATCCTGAACTACATTATTCGAATATTAATTGTATCTTTGTCTTAAGGGCATAATTATCTGCAATAATGAAATGAATAAAAATAAATAATAATTATAGCTTTTAACGAAACTAAAGCGGAAATTTCACTCGCATGTCAACAGGAAGTCTCTTTTTTTTTTTGTACATGACGTGTACAAAATCTACGAATTAGATTATTATTATAACAGTTTATTTATAATTAATTGATTAGATCAAATTTATTGCGCATTATGAAATGTGTACAGTAGAATATACACATCACACAGTGCCTCCAGGAAAAAGTATGGAAAAATTGATCCTGATATACTTGATAATACTCCTACAGGTATTGATTTATGTAAATTGTCTCTAATATTAAATCTATAGATGAAGCTCGCAAAGAACACCTAACCTAACCTAACCATGCGAGCATAACTTAGGTGTCTTTTGATATAGCGCACGACAATGCGTTGCAGATGAAAAACGGTACCCCGTTTCACAGAAATTGTACTGTGTGTAGTATATTATGATACAAAGATACAGATCATTTTTAAAGGGATTAAATCGCACAACCTTTGGCCCATAAAAATAATAAAATCACGCCTATGCACGGGATATAGCAACTCGACTTCTTGAACGTACACAAAGGCTACTACGATCATTCGCGAATTCACGATTACAATCGGCCAACTGCGGGTACACTCGTTTGCACTTATCGGTAATATTTGTGGGGCGGGCATATCACAATCTCGACCAGGACGAAACCCGCGCAGCGCGCGATTCTTGCAAAAAGACGTCTGCTCCACATTTGCCCGCCGGCAGAGCACGCGAAGACCATTTACGACTCATAAAGGCGGTTATAACCGCGGGCACAGTTCACGACCCGTCCACTGCTCTGCGTATACCGTCACTGCCTTTGAGGCGAATGACATTACACAAACGCCATAAAATAGAGAATATCAACCTTACACACAATCGCGCGTAATAGTATCGACGTGGAAATAATACTCACAGTTGGATATTCTGGGAAATCCGTCCATGTCCCTGACGACGTGCCGGTGCAGTATGTCCAGCATCATTTGACCGGACGAAACGGACAGCCGGTGCAGTGTGTGTGTGTGTGTTTTTAAGAGAACGAACGTATTTGGCGGTGAACCGTTGTCGTCACGTCAACGCACTGCACTTAATACGTCGTATGACAATCTTCGCGTGTTCGCGTTACCAGCGGATGAATCTCGCAGCATACGCAAAACGACGACGATAACGATAATAATTATTATCGTTGTTCTTTTAGCTCAGAACCGTATTTCGGCGCAGTCGTCAATCGCCACCACCGCGTGCCTCTCGACGCCGTCGCTACACCGCTACAACACCACGACTGCACGAGTCGCGTGGGACGGCTACGGCGGCGGCGTCGATGGCGTTAGCGCCCCGAGCACTGGCACGCCCACTAAACTCGACCGTTGGCGCCCGGGACGTCCCGACGATCGGCCGGCCGGCCAATGGGAGTGGTCGCTCTGCCGCTCACCCTTCCCCGCGCCACCGCCGCCGCCCGACGACCGAAACAACCCGTCGCTCGGGCGCAGCACCAAACCGACGCCGCTCTGATTTCCCGCTACAGCGTGCGGTGCCGGCGGTGTCGTCGCGTCTCTCGGACGGACACACACACAAACACACACACACACATGCACACACGCGCACACACGCACACACACATACACACACACGCACACACACATACACACACACACACACACACACACACATACACATACGCGGGCAATACGGATGAGGTACACGCGGAAACGCCGTCGTCGTCGATGTCGCCACTCGCCCGCCGCGGCCACCCGTTTTATCGACGTTTGGGTCGCGCAAAGTCGCGGCGGATACAACGCATATACGATATTACGTACACGCGTCGCCGCCGCCCGTCCTCCCTGCAGCTGCACATGCAGACGTCGCGATATTATTATGATATACATATACGCCGCTGCATATTTATAACACGCTCGGTCCGCTTGATTACGGCGTGTTATAAGCAATACGACGTTGCGCACCAGTGTCGCGCGCTCATCGCTTCCGTTTGCCGCATATTATAATATTATTATGTTGACCCGCGGCGACGGCGGTACGACTACGCAGTACGCGATTGTACGCGCGGCGGTCTTTTAGATGGGCGGTAATAATAGGTGCATACCGCGCGTATTATAATATATGTTATAATATAATGTATACCGCGGTATATTTGGTTTGCGGTATACGCGCGGGCCGCCGTTTAGCAGGTACAACTCCGTAGCACGCAGAAATGTCCACTGTATAATATTATTATTAAATATGAGAATATCAATAACGTAGCATGTCACACGAGAAACGTCAAATAGTGTATATAAACGTACAATAATACCCTATGTTGTCACGGTTTATCCACGCTATACAATATTATAATTATCATATTATTGTGTACGAAATGTGTTTTCGTGTTATAGGTGAGAGATCTCCAAACAGTCCTAACTACTAACACGTGGGCCAAAACGTTTATTATAAACTCGTTTACAGTTTTGACTTTTAAAGTACATATAATATGTCATCACAACGATGTATAAACGTTTTTCGCGTCAAAATTTAACTACACATTTGTATAACCCGCTGGACATATATTAGGTGTGCTTAAAACTATTACGGAAATCTATAACCAAAAACAATGTTTTTGAAAGTTCTTTTTTCAGAAGTTAGCCCCTTTCACACTACTTTAAAAAAAAATTAAAAATTAATTTTTTATTTAATTTACGTATAAGCACGCTTGAATAATTACGAGTTGTCATTTTATCCATATTGATTGATAACGCATGGTACGCCATTGTTGGGACAAGCAGTCGAATTATTAAGATGTTAATTGTAGCTTAATTCATGGATAAGAGTGTGATCAAGATGTGTATTTTCTATGATTTCGTTGTAGTTGATGTGTTCAATATAAATAAAGCTAGAGGTATCATCAAGTAGATATATTGTACTTCGTTTAAAAAAAAGCTCAATAAAAAGCAATATATTACTAATAGTATAAACATTTTAGAATTTTTCATTATGCTTAGTGATTCAGTCATAACGGGCAATGTTTTCGAGACTCCTGTTAAAGATATATCATAAACCCATTGCACGTTTGGGTATGTGTGTGTGCATATACGCTCGTTTTATGTTAGTACCTAACTATAATGTTAAAATACTTATTGTAAATATAAATACATAGGAAATAGGAATAAGCTTCTGGGTAATATCAAATAATACTTATAAGATATGATTATATCTCGTAGATATTCACTTGACTATATATACAGCGTGTCTCTACATCAGTATATTATTCTTTATTAAAGATAATTTTTCATTGTGTCCCGACTGTGTATAATATAGAATATATATATACAATTATGGTACCTTCCAACTATATATTTACCTATACAAAGTAAATGTAATATAATAATATGTGTTCAGTGTACTGCATATACCTATATGTTTAAGAGACTTATAAAAATAACAATATTATATGCGCGTAGTTCACGATACTCTGCACATCATAACCATGCATAAAAAAGTGGGTTATTGCATTTCTCGAGTTAAATATAACATTATATAACTAGTGTGTATATGAAAAAATAAAACGAAAAAAAGATATAAGGTACTATTAGAAAGTGAAAATCCAATATATTATTACTGTTGAGAAACTATGATTACCTATTATTTGTATTACAAATAATAATATGTTTGATTACACCGGTTATTGATTTCTTAAAATAAACATTTTTAAAATTTAAAGAAATTAAACTAATAGAAAAAATTTAAATACCTTTTAATATCTTAAAACTATTTGAAATAGATCTTGAGGCTTGAAGTTATTATTTAATTCAGTTTTACGATACGTCGTGAAAATTGCCTATATTATAGACCCTTCATAAATCATTACTAATTTAGAATTGCAATGTTGCACCTATCTCATAAAGGTATTTACATTTGTTAAATAATTGCTTATTTAATTTATTATACCTATGAATGATTAAATCGGTAAATAATTATATATAAATAAAAAAATAACGATCTTTAGTTATTTCATTTAAAAAAAAAATAAAAAAAAAAACAGCTTATGACTGCTCTGTTGTACAGTAGGAGTCTAGTGTACCTCGTTATTGAGCAAGTCATTACAATATATGTGTTAAATTTGAATTCAATGATATATCATTGTATATGAGAAATGATTTTGAATGAAGATTTATCTGACAACCAATTTAATACTAAGTGTATGTTTGTATGCTATATTTATATATTGCCGTTAGAGTAATTAATTTTACTATTAAAGTAATACGATAGGTCGAATTAATTTTTACCGAAAACATTGCATCTATTGTATTATTAATATTTAATTATTATCATAATAGTATATATTTATATCATATAGATAGATATTAAGTACAATCTACCTATTACAGTTTATTAACTTTTGAGACATTACCGACTTATCATAGAACGGTGTAAATAGGTTCATGGTATAGGGTAGTATAACCATAGTTTACGACACCATAAAATGAATTTGAATGTTTTGAAAATAATATCCAACTCTTATTTCATTAAAAAAATTCATACAGCCTTCCAGTCCATTACTTTCCGTATGGGTCTTCTGGTACGGGACTAAATAAAAACTGTGATCAATTTACCAAAATTCATTATAATTGGTTTCATTTAAAACTTCAATACCAATACACTATCTAGAATCTAAATACTTTAGTCTCTCACCAATAATCATGCACTCTTCCTACAGACAACTCACTTCGTCTTATCAAAAAGCATTGGTTCCATAACCTATTAAATTAATTTATAAAATAAACACATTTAGTTTTAAAGGGCTTTGTCATTGGATGGCTTCTTTTATCATATTGTGCTTCTATATTTTGTTATAATTATGTTTTATGTATATTTTAGTTGTGCGTTAAAAAAGATAGTTTATAAATTTTTCTTTCAAAAAAAAAAAAAAAAAAAAAAAGACAATGTTTAACACGATTTAAAAATACTATTATGGTTTACGCACTTTCATATACTTCTAATATATATTTTATTTAAAATAAAATTATATAATGACAATATATCTTAAAAATTATTATTTTCCATTTATCGTTTCAAATTAAAATAAGTGCAAGACTTATCATACATTATGCGTAAATTGTAGTGTTTGAGATTTAGAGGGGGAGAGGAGGGCTGTAACTCTACATGTACATACCGGACTTTATGAGAGTTTTCTGCAGGTATTATAATAAGGTAAGTGAAATGTTCATGTTTTTTTTTTTTTTTTTTTTTTTTTTTTTTGAGGTTGAGCACTATGTAACAGTTATGGGGACTTACCGCTCTAGCCAATAGTAAAAATGTAAAAAAAGTCTTAGTTCAATTTCTTATCTTGGAATACCGGTATCAGGTATTTCATACCTTATAGTTTATTTTATAGCGGTCGTTATAGTTGTTTTAGTTATAAAATCTTTCAAATTCGATTATTTGATGATTTTTTGGAAATTAAATATATGTTTTATAGATTATCTACAAAAATATATAAGCAGTTATATTACCAAGTATACCTACCAATAATATATATTGGGTCTTATAATTTTACAATCAAGATTAGACATTATACAATTTAGAAGTGTGCTTTCATTGAGCATTCAAAATAATTTTTTACATTTGTAATTAGATACTAGTTTGTGTATAGTTTACTAGTATACTTAGAGTTATTTACCAAACCATATGTTATGTACCTATGGTACCTATTTTAAATTACATACACATTATTACGTATAATTTGTAAGTGTAATCACTATCAACTACTTACTCTTTCGCTCTACTGTTGAACTAAATCATGTGTTTCAAATTACCTATTATGTTGATTAAACTCAAGATATTACACTAGCAATAACTTAACTGTAAACTATAAGTGTAATAGTTGATTCGAGTTACTATACTTAATATATATATAATACATAATACATATATGCCACGTCTACATATTATTTGAGATTATAATATTGAATTTAAATTTTTAATTCATCAAAAATATTGTTAAAATTTACAAACGAAACATGGAATACTTACCTAAAAATTATATAATTTCATCAATACTCATATTATAAAAGCAAAAAGGTTTGATTTAAAAAAAATGTTTAATTGGTGAGGTGCATAGGTATACTATATTATAACGGTATAGGATTACAAATTATTAAATTACCTTTACCTCCTAATACATTTTAATATTTATCTACACAATACATATTTCATTTTTTTTTAATGTTTAGTTTATATAAATATATTGTAGGTACCTTTAGGTATAAAAAATAATATCACTATACTTAATAAAAATAATTAAAAATATATTTAATTAATTAAAGATATAGGCTGAATATTAATATTAGAGTTGTCTTAAAAATAGCTAGAATAAATTATTCTCCAAATCTGAAAAAAAAAATATGGTATATTAATATTAATAAAATAATATTATAGTATACAATTACACAAAATTAAATCGACATACTGAAAATTATTTAATTGTGAAATCATTACATAATTTGAATTTTCATAGTGGTACTTACTCCGTAAAACTTTAGTCTATTACTCATACATATACTTACTTTAAATACTTATGAGTTATGAGTATAGTTAATTCATTGTTTGTACGGCATTTGGATTTTATGTAAGCAATTTTAAGTATCAAATGTATATTGTCATTTATAAAAGCATTTGATTGGTTTTCTCGGCACCAAACGTATTTATATCATGAACACTACACTGTTCTAAGGTTTACATACACAGGGTTGGACTGTTGGGCAGTATCTTCGATAAAATTGTATCTCGTATCTCGATACTCCAAATCTAAGTATCTAGTTTAGCGATATTGATTTTTGATTATCTTGTCCATTTCTAGGTATACAATATACTTGGTATTGACTTATATTACAAAAATGATTTATAGTATAATATTCTATAATTGTGAGATGTGTTTGTCAAAAATTAGTTCTGTATTACAAATACAACAAAAAATAAAAAAATATTCTATGAAATAAAGGTAGATACCGCTATCTTTCTCAGGATCATTTTTCGTATGCAATAATTTATTATTAAATTCAGATTTCACTCGTCACCCATTATAGTGACTAACTAAATGAAAAAGTACCTATTTAGTTTGTACGAATCTTCTATACATACAGATGAAATACTTAAATATATAATCTGCAATCAGCGAATTAGGATTTGCAATAAATGATTATTATGTAAATATTACAAGCGAGTAATATTGGTACTTGCAAAGCTGTACCTAGCGGAGTTCATCCCCTTGCCCCACCCGAAATTTTTTCGCATTACGCAAACTTAGAAATTTAACATTCATTTTTTTTATTATTAATCTAATATTAATAATATAGCAATATAGCTCAAACAATTGCAATACAGAGTGAAGTACTTAAAGCATATTTTAATTATAACCGAAACTTTTTTCCTAACATTTCATTTTTATTAAAAGTTTTGATTACTTTATCGGTGTTAACCACAAAACCCGAAAAGACATTTTCTTCTCTAAAAAAAATTAAGAACTATTTGCGAAATACTATCGTTAAAGATAGACTAACCGGTTTAGAATTACTTAGTGTATACTGTACATTGAAATATTTATGTCAATCTTGAGGTAGTAATCAACTATTTTTCTAAAGAAAAAAATAAAAATTTAGAATGTGCTGTAAAATTGAATTTTATTTTATAATATATAATATTATGCGTATTTAAATAATTAATAATAAACCTTATTAATTTATGTATGAGTACTTAAAATATACATATTTAATTATTTTGAAACATTTATAAATTGTTTGTTATTTTATACACAACTTAGAAGATTTGTGTATTCTCCCCCCCCGAAAATTTGTTCGGGTATAACCTTGAGTACTTGAAATTATATATTTCATGTATAGAAATAATTATTTCCATAGCAAACTGTAGTTTACGAAACACTTGTTTGTTTTATTTTTAATAACAAGAAATAAAAGTATTTATGGGTAATTTTAAAATTAGGTGTAATTGAATAATAAATGTAAATATGAATAAAGTTATTGTAGTAACAATAGAAAAATTACGAAAAAAAAATAGTGACATAGTTATCACTTAAGCAATTTAATATTAAATTACACAAATTATTTAAATATTATTTATAAAAAAATATCAAATTTCATGGTTCATTCATATAATATTATATATCTATTTTTATTTTCCACTATATCATGTTTATTTTAAGATTTTAAAACTTAAAGAATTATTTGTTTTCCGCATTGAATTTTACATCTCTTTCTTGCTGAAAATCTCTTAAAGCATTTTCTTTGCGTTCTAAGGTAAGCTCGGCCTCATGGATTTTATTCAAGTTATCTTCTATTTCCAGTTGGCTATATTTACCATTGTAGTAAGGAAAAAATTGTAGTACAGTGCGCCATTCTGTCATATAACATAGCAGTACAAAACTTGTAACACCAAAAGACAATCCGGACATACCCCTAAAAATATATATACATATATACATGTAATAATTTAAATGTAATGTTTAAAATGTAAATTCATATTATCAAAGAAAGAGCTTAAAGAATTTGGTTTGATGTGGAGAATTTAAGTATCACAAACGACGACAACTATCGGTTATCACTCATCAACCAAGTATATGATATTTTATAGTAGGTATACAATGTATGAATAAACTTAAATAATTTAAGATTGAATTTTATTAAAAAACCATTTATATATATTTTTTAAATAAACTTGAAGTTTAAATTATATAATTATTGGCTTCATAGAAGTGAGAAAGAGTTTAAATTACTGATAAAAACTTAGTATTAGAAACTTTTTTAATTTTGTGTATAACGGGCTCAAACGATTATAGGTATATTATAATATAGAAACACATTTATTGCCAGCAGCCAGCTATCACGCTTGATCAGAATAGTAGGTGAAGATATAAACGGTGAAATGTGATAGTAATGTCTCCTTAATTCTATCAAAAAATTAATAGTTTGATTTCTGGAAAACCTTTTCATAACAGACTATCTTAAGATAGAAATCTCATTATCTAAGAAAATAACAACAGTCATTTAATATTTTACCCACATTAAACATTAAAAAGAAAATTTAGTTAATTCAAACTAAACTCTTAAACGATTTTTGCTTTTTATACAGAGTTTTGACTGTCATTACTTATTATTTAATATATACATTGTTTTTGGATAATTTTACTTATAATTCAGCAATTTCTAATTGTACTAATAAATGTCACAATCGCGCAAATTTATACCTTCATAAATTATTGTTATTTTATTTTATTGATACCTATCATTTAATATTTTCAATTTTAATTTTTAACCACTACTATTATAAGACAGACAACTAATATTTTTAAAAATGGTATCTAATCTATATCCTATAGTAAATAATAATTATTTTAATGTTTGGTGCGTGATTTATTTTATAGTTTTGTAATATTATTATACAACGTTTATTATTATTTTATTATTTTAGTTTTAACTTTTAAGTTATTGTTTGAAAATTATGTAAAAGAACTTCAAAATTGCATTATCTAACTCGAATGGTAATTTAATTTAAAAACAAAAAAGAATGGCTTATTCTTGCTTCAGATATGGTATGATTTATGAGTTTATAAGATCATTCCTAGTATGAGTCTATGAGACACTTAATAACAAATTGAATTATAGTATCCATTACGAGCTAAAGTCGAATATAGTACATATTTACTCGTCTCATCGTTTAGATGCTGAAGAGTAGAGACTATGGAATAGATAATGTATATCTTGTACCTATAGTGTTGCATTGGGTATAGGTACGTACGAATTCTTATATAATATGATCATAGATCATCGTGACGTATCGCGTTTATCGTGAATCTTCAATAAAAAAATAAACAGTAATCAATATTAGTTGGTTTAAATAGTTTTAATTTTAATTACAGTCCACTCTTTTCATATACTATATACACACTTTATAAGAATAATTTATAAATATATAGATAACTTTGACAGAGATAATTACTTCGAACAAACATTTATACTTTACTTAGATATATAAATAATAAATATATTTGTTATAAACCAGTATATCCATATGTATGGTTTTTTGGTAGGTAAATTAATTTCAATGTACATATTGCATTTGGTTCAAAGTTAAACAATTAATTTTATCGTAGTATTTCCTGAAAGTCGAAAAAAAAGGTTTAAATCGTACTTTTTTTAGTTGATTTAAAATTAATTTTAATATCAGACATTTACATCTATGTAAAATACCACAAATAACCCAACAATATTATAAAATCGGATTAACGGATAATTGAATAATAATAAAAAATATACTCTATAACAAATATTATTGTTTATATAAAATTATATTGTTATTTGTTGTGTATGTTTCACTTTCAGTGTCGCGTCCTCTTAAGAGTTGTGATAGGAAAACCTGTTTTTAATAATGGTGAGATACCACCACTGTAGTGACTGCGAGTATAAGAGAATGAGAACCATAAACATGAAATAATATCTGTTCTCGTTTCCTAGCACTTACTTGATTAGCAGTATTAGCACTCAGCACGACAGCACATGCCAAAAAATATAATTGTTTGTTTCGTTTCAAAAACAACAAACATGCATATTTTGAACTTCCAAGAGTTCTCAATTTCTCAGTCCTCTTCAGTTGTAAAAATATACATTTTAAATTAAAATAAATTTGAGAAGTTCTATTCAAAATTGCTTACTTTTTTGATATTTTAATTAAATTATTTTATGAATTTTATACATTTAAAAACATATAGTATCTGTTCGAAAAATTTTATTCTCGCGAACAACAAGGCTATTAGTTTGAAAGTACAAACAGCCAATTAATTACAAAAATATAATATATATATATATATATATAATTAAATGAATAGGCATGCATCTATGATGCTGGTTGTGCATTTAACTTATACATAAGTTAAGTAATAATATTACAGTTGGCTATTAATTTAGCCAATTTGATAGGTACATTAACTTCAGAATTTATTTCAAAAATTATATTTAACTGGTTTGGAGGTATTCATTTTGAATATATTTTTAAATTGTTCAAACAATCATTATGATAGTATATTTAAGCATATTCTGATTTCAAATAATATAAATACAATATTTATTATGTAGGTATACATACATGTTTTTAATTGTTATCGTTTTACATGATTGTGGTTTTTAAACAACAAAAAATATTAATTTTTACTCTGATATGTTGTTACTTGTTATTATTGTATCAATATTCGAATAAAATACATTACCATGTTTTCAAAGCCACAGTAGTCTTGTACAGATTGGGCATCGTTTTCTTCGACATTGGTGTCAACGGGATGCCTTTATTGTTAATACGTGACATGATTTTCTTAAACATGATTGTATTTCGTTTGGACAGACTCGCAGATTGTTCGTCCGCGCAATTGAACTTTTGTAAATTGAAATGACCGACAGTGAAAAACTTGGTAAATTTGTATTTGTATACACAAACAAATAATAGTTTAATAACATGTAACTATATTGAAAATCACTTTTACATTAAACAGCGATTACAGCAATCTTACGTAATTCGACAATATCGTAAACAAACTATGAACTCGAATCACAATCAGTATTCACGAATCATGAATCGTGGATCAGGGTCGTCCAAAATATTTTCCAGGCTTCCAGCAGTCGCTGCATTGACGCATCGTGTACAATATTCGATAGGGATAAAATAAAAATAAGTATCTAGCTAAATAATATATTACTTTCCTCCAAGGCTACACCCTTGGAACGTTGTGATACACGTAAGTTTGTCCAACATTGGTTTTTATATCAAACAATTAACGTTAAATTAAATTACAATTTGTACTTTGAGACCTTTTAGTATTTATGTGATATTAGAATTATGTCGTACAGTTGATGTTTAATTTATATGAATAAATTAAAACGATGAATTCTGAAACGGACAAAAGTTAAGAACTATAAACACTGTATAGGTAAAATACTAAAATATACCATTAATTTATTGCAATATGAATATTTAAATATTATAACAAGAACATTAGAATTACTTCACAAGTAAATTGAAAATTAATGGGAAAAACAAAAATAATTAAAGTCAATTTTGTTTTTTTGATGTAACTCCAAAACGAAAAACTGTGCAGTGTGCAGGATACTTGAAACTTTCATTAAATCTTTGTATGATTGTTTTCTATAGATAAAATCATTTTTTAAACATTTAGACTCTTTTTTGGCTATTTATTAACATTTGAAATTTATCTTATTTTTATTTTTTTATTATTTTTTTTTTTTAAATATTATTATTTGCTGTGTAAAAATCTAAAAATGCCAAAATTATTTTGTAGTCAAAAATTCATAAAACATTTTTTCTTTCTATTTAAGATTTAAAAATTTAATTCAAGGTTCTTTAAAAGTTTTTCATCTTTCATTAAAAAAAATGTCTACTAAAAATTAAATGAAATACTTTTGTGCTTTTGAAGTTTTTAAAATTTTAATAACATAACATATTTACCCATAAAATAACTATTTCCTATCAAGGGACTTATGATATTTCGTTGTAATAAAAAAAACGTGTAAGTAACTGAAGATACTTGAAATTTTCACCAAATGTTTAAATAATCATTTTCTATTAATAATAAATTTTAATTTTTTCTATCAAAATGCTTGGACATTTAATACAAGTTCAAGAAATTTTATAAAAATATTTAAAATACATTATCATAACATAATATTTTTATAAAAATTAAAAGTTTAAATTTTGACAGAACTATGAAAATTTGCAAGTTGTTTTTAGTTGAAAATTTATAAATAATATAACTTTTATAAAAAAAGTTTAAAATTTAATAGAAATATCCCCATACCTAGTTGAAATCAAAAAAATCTAAAATAAATAAAAAAGTATAATTTTTTTAACGACATTTTTAATATTAAATTTGGACGAGATTACACATTTAAATTACTAGTAAACGATATTTATTATTTAGTAATAGTTCAATAAATATTAGTGAGGACATAAAACTTTTACGTGTATATTTTACAAAATAATATTTTCGAATGCAATTTTTTTTTATTATTGTTACTTTATCTAATATCTATGTTAAAAAAACATAACTAGAAAATATTTTTAGTAATATAGGCCAATAGACTGTTTTCACTTAGTATCGTTTTTCGCATTTAATGATATGTCATTGGATTTAAATTTATCACATTCATCCTAACCTACTGTTTAGAAGAGTAGTAGAAAACCACTTGTCCACCTTTTTTGTTAAGTAAATCCAAGTATGTTGCAACTTATTAACAATTTATTTCATACAATATTATTGAAATGTGTCAATGTTACATTTCATAATTAAAGTTTCTATGATCAAATTGTTTGTACGTTATGATTAATTATGTGCTGTGTTGTCTGTTAATAATGAATGCTTGTAAATTGCACTTAATTAATATATATATATATATATATATATATAATATTGACAAATACTTACTAAATCCCAGTTTTTAATTGTTATTTCGAGTAAAAATTTATTCTTACTTCAAATTTCTATATTTATTATTACTTATCTATATACATAGTACTGGAATATAGATGTATGTATGTAATCTGTATACATTATTATTAATAATTATCATATGGGTCTGTGTCATGTCGAAATTATTAGTAGATTTTGCTAAAACAAACGGTACCCCCCCCCCCCCCACATGTTTTTTGAAATCACCATTTACATTATACCATATATACATTAATGTTTAAGTGTGTACTTGTAACATATGTTTTATTGATAAAACTATTTCCTCTTTCAACAACAAACTAACAAACTGACATTTCCTATTTTTTATTTGTTGTTATTGCATTCTTAGTATGTCGTTTCTTTGATAATTTTTCAAGGTATAGTGTATTGGGGTAGTTTTAATTAAATTGTATCATTAATCACACAACGACTTAGTAGAAAGAGGGTAGAAGCTCGACTAAATCTGTATGTAAGTGAAAAATCTAGAAGAAAAATTACTGCTGTTCCTTATGTACAAACATAAACATATACTATACTTACACCCACGTTCACATAAACACAGATTGCTTTAGGGACAGTACAATAAGTTACATTTTAAAGAGTAGAGGTAGGGTAGAGTCGTAGAGGCAACACTGGTAAACGCGAGAAAAGAAAAATGTGTGCGACATATAACCCCTTCCTAAGATTTAATAAGATTTCTTTAAATTTACCGAAAAATTCAATCAATTTAGCTAACAAAATAATATATTATTATCTCATAAATATATTATATAATATAAATAGATATTTAGGTATAATATGCATATTATATACTATTTATAGTAGTTACTTGTTACTCTAAAAATTATCATACATAGTATTAAAATTTAATATAAGTGTGATTAGACCTTTTTGTTTTTGAGTAAGTTTTTATATAACATAAAGTTAATTAGTCATAATAGTAGTCTAGTAGTGGATCTTAATAGTTACCTATTTCTTTTTCATACTTTATCAATTTGTAAATATCAATGAAAATTACGATTAAACGATTAATATTTAAGATATTTTACTTTGTAGATAGTATATAGGGTATTTGGATATTCCTAAACTTAGAAGGTATTACTAAACTACGAGGTATCAACATAATTACATAAATATTGTCATGTAAAACTAGTAAAGTCGCATCATATACAACTTTTGACCTTGGCATAGGCTAGTATTATAAAACCTACTTAAGTCAAGGTACACTATTTTGTTATGTAAATATGAAAAAAAAATGTGCAATCATTACATTAACATTTTCAAACTGAAATTTCTTATCTCAAAAATTGCTAAATCACTGATAATAACGTAGGTACGTTTTTATTAGGTTTAAGGTCACGATAAAATTAAGTTTAAATTATTCCTAAATCAAACTTTCTTAATTTCAATCTATTATATTCAATTCTTTCCAATTGATTGATTAGTTCTGTGAGACTGTGACGTTAATATTGAAAGGGTCGAGAGTGTACTATCATATTCTTTCGTTGAGGTTTTTTTTGTATATTGATTTTTTATCATGATAGAAAAATTTTAAAATTTATTGTTAAAATCAAAATTCTAGTTTTTACTATTTTTTTTTTTTTTAAGTAATACAAGTATATTTATCATCATATATGAAAGATATTAAGCCTTAAAGATTGTCATACTCATTTACGATATTAGTACCTATAGTAAACTATAGGTAATTTCAGGCATGTACACAAAAAAAAAAATCTAGGGGAAGGTTAAAAAAATTGTTACAATATTCAATGTATAAGTATATATTAAATTTTTTTCGGGTATGGACGGAGGAAGATTGAATCTCGAGACCACTTTGAATAAGTGTCCGGATAACCTATATTAAACTAAAACAATTTTTTAATTTAAATCTAGGTATATAATATACATTACTTGTGATATTCACGTAATTCTGTTTTCTAATTAAACCAATTTCATAGAATTATTAAAAAAAAAACAAATATGGCAATGTTTGAAGTAATTAGTGAAGAATGCGATTAATTGACTAAATATTAGATACTATTTTACCACGATTAAAAAAAAAAAAAAAAAAATTAAATAAAGCTTAAATTCTTTTTAAGATGAAAAGACAACTTATATAAAGTTACTTTTTGATAATATAGAAAAAATATTTTAAATCTATGATATTTTGAATGAATGCAATAAAAGCAATTTATAATGTAAAAAGTACAGTAAACTATAAAATTTTACGGTTAATTTCACATTTTGTGTCAAATAGTGATATACATCCAACCATGAACGCACTAAGCATATTGATAATATATGTAATATTTTATATTTGTTTTTATAATAGATTTAAAATTGTTAAAAATATCCACTATGAACTGCTATTATTTTCAAAATTTTAACATTTAAATTAATAGGCTGCATTACAGTCATCAAAATTAAACGTGTAATGTTTTTTCTAAAGCAAACGTTTTAATATGTTAAGCATATTTAAATTATAATTAGCCTTAAAATACTTAAAAGTATTTAAATAATAGTACTAATAAAAATATTAATAATATTCTAGTAAGTTTACTGATAATTAACACTTAAGTCAATACTGTTTATCAATTATAATTTGTATTAAAATAACTTATTTTTTATATATATTTTAATTTTATTTTTAGTTTAATGAATAATATAATTAAATTTATATACTTATATACGTAAAAAAAAAAAAAAAAATGTAAAATTTTATAGACAATATCAACAAGTATAATATTTGATATTAGGTTTGCACTATCTATTAAAAATCACAAAAATTTTAAAATGATAAAATTTGCAGTTTTTTTTTTTGAAATTACGAATTACTCTTTTAATTGAAAATTCAATAGATTTAAAAATAGATTTTTGACCTTATTTATAATGAATATTTTTAAATACCTACTGAAAAATCAAAAAAACAAAAATAAATTGTTTTTTGAATATTTATTCGAATTAATTAACATAAGCAGGTATATATTATATACTGCATCTAAGAATTATATTAAAATATTTCAATATTTCAATATATTATTTTAATTATCTGGTGGAATCTGTCAGGAAATTTGAGAATACATTATTTTATTTCTAAAATAGTCAAATATTAATATCAGTAAACCTTCTCCCTCAATCAATTTTAAAAAAGCTTAAAAATTAAGAAAATAATAAGCGGTACTGGTTGAATTTGTATTTTATTCTAAACATTTCTGCACTCAAGATAATTACTCATATCGTCAACTTTGATTTAAGTCAATTTTTATAAGATTATAAGTAAATAAAAATTCTTGAGATCACATAATTTATTATTGTTTACAGACAGTAGTATAAACTAGTCAAATTTCCTATTGAATAATTGTTGTCTTATGTTAAATCAGATCTATTAATAATTAAGCTATAAGTAATGATAATAATAAAATAAAATTTGTCATGTATTTCAAAACGATCACTAAATTTTATTATATCTCGTGTTTTTTATGATACATAATCACGCAAAATTTGTTAATTATCATACTTAACATTAATAATGGAAAATTGACAAGCTATATTGTAGTCTATAAAATAAGTATAAAATAATATGTTTATATTTCAACTATTATAGATATCTATATGAGTACATAACTTATCAAAATGTTATTCATATTTGAAATTGACATCATCAATGATGTTTATACTTATGCGTGTATGAATTATATACCTATAGATACTTACAATTTACTAAATGATCTCGTTGACTCGATGGCCATATATGTACATTAGTGACGTTTGTGTAACTGAAATAATTAGCTGGATATCGTATTTTTTTGATTCAATATTATTGTCAGTAAAATTAAATACCTATGTAATATTATAATAAAACAAATAACAAAATATTCTGTTTAATTAATAATCATTACATTTAATTTTTGCTAAAGTTGTGTAGACTGTAGCTGACCTTGTTTGATCCAGATATTTAAACTTATATGCCCAATCAAATGAATACATTTAAAAATATTTAGGTATAAAAATTATAATCTTGACATTTTACACATTTCAAATGTCAAGGGCTTATTATTATTATTTGTTAATTTGTTATAACAAATAGACCATTAATGTGTTTTAATTCATAGCCTTTAAATTTATTACCTTAAATGTAATGTCATGTAATAAAAAATACGCATATATTTACGAATAGCTAGCAGGTTTTTTTTCCAATGTCACTTTATATTGTTTGATTTGTCCAAAACCCGATTTTTGGTTTGTCAAACCAGTTTGCTTTTACGTTTTTAAATATTTTAACAACAAAAACACAAAATAAACAATCATTACACAATATTATTAACATATTATAAAATCGTATAAACTACATTAGAGTGGGATATTTTACAGATGTATAAATACTATTAAGATCTTTAAACACAACATCAGTGATCTACAGTTATTACATCGATACACATCGAGTTTTTCACAAGTTGAGTCACCTCAAATTTAACTCCAAACATCATCATGTACAAGTTATTGGTGAGTATTTATTTTTTATTTTTTTTTTGTTCTAAAATATAGAAAATAGTGCAATAAATACATAGGTAATAGCTAGTAAATACCTATAAACTTGTTTAAGTTTATTAATTAAAAGATAAAAATGATTATTTTTCTTCATTTATATATACTAAAAATCAATTTTTTATTTTTATATTGTACAATTAATAATTTTTATTTGCCTCTTTTTTTTTAAAAAAAATCGTACAATTTATTAATGAATATTATTTTTTATTAGTTTATATTTTTATATCAGCATTAAAAAAAACCCAATATTATTAGATTCAAGAAACAAATATTATACTCAAACATTCAGTGTTAATAAATTTAATTTAAATGAATTACAATTTTTTCGAATAAGATCTGTTTAATAATAATCGATATAATATAATTTATAGATATGTAAAATTCTTCAATAGAAAATTTAATTTTCCTAACAATAAATGTAAAATAATGTTATGTTTATATAAAAAATCTACTCTGTACTCTATGAATTATTAATTAAAAATCTTTTTTGATAGTTTTTGGTTTTTGCCACTCTGGCTTTGATCGCTGTTGCTTCTTCTCAAACAATTTACACCTACCCTCAAACCTACGCACCGGTATACACCTATCCATTGTACCACTACACTTACCCTGTGTCTTATAATCCATACATCACTCTACTTCGTCGATAAATACATTTTCTACCAAATTTGTAAGTATAAAAGTTTATATATAAATTTTAAATATATTATTATATTGTTTTAATTATGTATATAATATAGTCATCTGATAATTAAATACATATAATTATCTAAATCGTATCCTAAATACTATAAACCCTCATGTATAATGATCATAAAATTTTAAATGCCATACAATGCATGGTTGAGGATCAATTAGTCTTTATTATAATCGTGTTAAACGTTAACATTATTTCTTGAATCTTTTAAATTAAATTAAATTTATGTTTGCCTACTCTTTACTACACATTCGTTCTTCCCTACTGTTAATATTACATCTTAAATCATATTTAATAATTTCTTATTGATTAAATGTATATTAACTTATTATATTATTTTGAATAATAAATTGTATATGTATATTTTTAGATAACCATCTGGAGTTTTCTACAGTTATTTAATACCCATTGTACGAAAACGATGATAACGGAAAATATATTTACTTCACTACATTTATTATTTGCTATTTTTCCACTGTTAATTCTTCTATATTCATCTAACTATGTAATACCTTTTAAATAATTTTTAAAAAACTGTTTACTGTAACATAAATATATTATAATTTATTGAAAATACTGCATTTTTTTTTTTTTTTTTTAACACATATTGCATATTAAGTCATAAACATGTTGACTTAACTGTTCCTAAATAGAAAATATAGGTACTTACTGCTAAGGTTGTATTACTGTTTCTTAAAAATAAATAAGAAAATAAAGGAAAGATTTTAATAGCTTCGTGTCCTCTTCAATATACTTATAATATAAATAAAAATTTCAAATACATTTAAGATACCTACTTGGAAATTATACTTAATTATTTAAATTATTACTCAAACTATTTATTTTTTCATAGTAAATTAATTAGTTATTAAAAAAATAACGATGAATATTTATAAAACTAAATAATCACTCATAATATAATATGAGATGTCTATAAGACAATATATATTTTCTGCGATTAATAAAAAAATTAATTTGGATGACAAATATAATAAGAGTTATTTATATAAAACATAAAAAAGAATAAAATTAGTAGGCATATAACTTATTATTAGAAATTGACTTTTATGTTATTATTTTTAAGGTAAGATTATTTTCAGCTCAATAACGATACAAATAATCAACTTTGCATTTATAATTTGCACTGTATCAACATATTATAATACATTTTTTATAATACCTATTTATTATGTTTCAGTAATATTAATAATTAACTTTCAATCAATTATTAAATGAAATAAATAATAATATTCAAATTTTATAGGCAATAAAATTAATTTAAATATTTTGACAACGTTTGATACCATATTATATATATTTAAATCATATTTATAAAGATATACATTGCCAGATTTTTTTTCAAAATACACTACACATATTATTACAAAAATAATCAAATATTATTTTACCTATTAAATGTATATTATATACACACATGATTATATGAGCAGATATCGTTTAGGAAAACCGCTCTCTGTTCCTCAAGAATTATGATTATTATTGATTATACATTTGAAATTTACAGCAGACATCTAAGTACTACGTATATACTTAATATATATTATAATTTGTAAGTTATATTAGTTATAACTTATAAGGTTAAAACATACTCATTTCTTGAATTATTTTTATCAAAAAATTTATTAGGATAATTTTGTCTCGGTTATTTGTACATGAATTTATGTTTTCTAGTGTGATAGTATATTTTGTGAAAAACCAAGCATATCGAATTTACAGTGTATACGGTGTTCGTGGGTAAGAGAAGAAAAAAAAAAGTTCGTGGATCGAGATGGAGCAAGTGGACGACACTAGTGAATTCCAGTCGGCCAGGAATGTCGAGGGTCATCCGTCACGAGCAAAACGAGCTGTATCTAATATTGTCAGGGGTTGCCAAAAATCTACGAGGAAGGGTAGACAGCTGTTTCCGAGCTGTTAGTCACGCCGTGGAATTTTTGTACCCAGCGTTCGTCCCTTATCCATCCACGCTAGCAAAGCACTCCACTGATGTCGCCTCTCAGTCTATCTTTATTTCTCTCCGTCCCCACTCCCTTTTTCAACCACCCCACTCCTACTATGTGTCTCCTCATCGCCACCACCGACACTCGCACTCACACTCACAGTTTCCCTCGTGCTTTTGTATAACCATCCGTGAAACGGCTACGTAATGGGGGATGAAATTCTTGACATGAATGCAAATAAACGGTGCCGGTGGTGGTGTGCTTATGCTTTCCGATTGCATAATATGAAAAGCCCGTCAGAATTTAGGTTTTTATACACGATGCATCCTTGGATTGTTAAACGATACATCAGTGTATAATATGAGCTTTTAAACCAATAATAATATATTAATATGTTCATTGAGTCGAATAACAATTTAAACTGCAGTTAACATTTTTGAAATAATATCGACTTTGAAATGTATTTAAAATATTTTAACACGAGTTTATTCATTTTCAAATTATTTTGAGTTTTTCAGGTTATAATAATAGATAAAAAATATATAATTACTATTATAAATTATAATATAATACATTTAAAAAATGATAAAGAAAGAGAAATTAATTGAACTCATTGATTTAAATTACATAGTATTATAAAAATTTATTATTACATGGTCACTAAATTATATCTAATCAACAAAACACATTTAACATTATGCTACTTTTTACTCCGTTATTAATTTTTTTAAATCATTCCAAAGTTTGATTTTGAAATAAAGTTGTATAGTTATGTATAATAACAGAGTAAATACAAGAATTTCTAATGCTAAGATTTATTTTATTATCTTTTATTCAGTATCGAGGTTTAATTTATTAATTTATAAATCAAGTATTTGGCTTATGATTGGCATACTTGACAAATTTAACAATTTTACAAGCCTCTAGTAACCAAGTAAACTGTTCACATACGAATGGTTAAGTACTTAAGTAATAGCAAATATTTGCCATATATTTACTATTCCATTCCACATTAAAACCAGTTAACATATTATATTATTAGATAATAGCTAAAGATTAAAAATTCACAAATCTACTCAATTATTTGTGTATGTTTTTATTGTTACTTTTATCGCCAAAATAGTTATACAGAAATTCTATTGATTTTTACTTAAGGATGGTTTAATTTTAATCTTATTTCTCAGAGTAATTAAATGCTTGTTTCTATTAGTTAGCCCAAATTAGAAATATGAAGAAAAAAGGAACACATAATTTTATTTTATTTTTATATTATTATTAATTAATCTATAGGAAAGTTATTTTGATGGTTTTTGTTATTACTTTAGGATAATAATTTTTTTCATGCAGTAACAGTGTAACACCATATCTATTATAGTATGTATTATACGTATTTATTTATCATAGCAATTTTTTTTTTTTTTTTTTAAAGAGTATAAGATATATTAAAATTATAATCTAAAAAATAAAAATTAGTTTGTGCATTATTTTCATGGGTTTCACACTCTCACAGGCATCCATAAAAACTTTTTAAGTATAATGAAATTGATTTCTAAGTACCTATACACATACCTGTCTATAACACTACTCACATCACTGTATAAAACAATATTGAACATATTACAGTCATTTAGACTACTATCGTGATCAGCTCGAAGCTGTAGATACTCTGAAACAACCTAAAGTTTATGTATTGTGATATATTTTATGTTTAAATACCATTGTTTATCGGTCACTGTTGAAGAATCAAAACCCTGCAACAAAATAAAGTTAGGTGGATAATAACTGTATAATATATTAACGTAGTGGTAAATATTTATTAGAAATACAAATTAAATTAGTAAATAAACATTTAATATATAATTATATGATAAAAAATGGTTTGCAATGTATACCTAAAAACGTATTGCTGTTGGTTGATGTTGATACTAATACAGACGATTTATAATAAATTATACAAATACCGAATGAGGAGTGAAAACTTAATGAAGCTTAACTGAGTGTTATAAACAACATGTATATAATATGTAGTTTATATATACAATATTATAATATACATATATATATATAATATACTATATACGCCCTCTTCTACGTGCAAACCCACCCTGCGCTCCATTCCACCACTTATCCATCACGGGTTCGAAGCCGAATGACAATTACAAAGGTTCGTTGTCTATATACACGTGCCTTTGTACGACGAGCTACACTTTATTAAAAACGCTTCAACGCATGCATTCACTTCCCCTCAACATCTATAAACATAGAGTTTATACATATATATGTATATATTTAATAATATAAAAAGGTATAAATATTTTTTTTTTATGTACATTTAGTTTTCCGTTTACGCATCATTGCAGATTTTTTTAATATTGAGTCGTGCTTTTAAACAAATATAACATTTTTTGGATTTTATAAAATACGTGGAAAAAATAAAAAATTCATTTAAAAAGGAATTTCTGCTGTTGACTATAATATTATATTCGTGACTACCATCATTATGCAAAGTTTCGTATAATATAGCGATAAATTGGTCCAAAGGCATAATATTTGATTAATCAATAAAAGATTTTATTAAGTTATGTTTTATCATTTATTGTTTTTTTGAAAAAATGTAATTAAATTATCCATTTCGTATTTCTTCAATAGGTATGTATTAAAATACAGAAAACTATAAAATGTATTGAATTATTTTTTAACAACAGGATAATAGATAATACTAATTAGTAATTTGTATTCTGGAAAAGTATCGGTAACCATAATATACACATTTCACCATTTCAAACTTATAATATAATTTTAATAAAAATAAAAAATAAATAAATACATTTCAAAAAAAATTATTCTGATCCCTTTTCTCAAATTGTAATAATTCTTAATAGTTTATTCGCTGAAATTCACTATAACCCTAATTATATTAATATTTTATAGATATAAATTTAAAATAATCGAAAATATCAAATGGTTATAAATAATCAAAAAGTGTTAAAATACTTTGAAATTTACATTATGGATCATTGAGTCTAGTTGGTACTATTGAAAAATCAAAATTGAAAATATTCAGTTTTTTTCAAAACAATTGAAAGAAAAATAAAAAACAAATGAAAAAAATGAGAAATTTTACTAGTTAAAAAAAAAAAAAATTATTTTCATTTATTAGCCTGACTGTAATAAATAAATAACTGAAGATACTATACATTTTCAATGTTATTCATTTTTATTTTTATTTAGGTCAATCAAAAAACTTTTGATTAACAATCAAAAGTTTTAAAATGTAATACAAGGTTGCTCACAAGGCTACAATAATTTTCATAAATTTGTTTAAAATTATAAAAATATTTAATCCTTATGTTTTTAATTTACAAAATATTATAACATTTCTCATAAGATGTTTTAGTAGGATTAAAAAATAATATTTGTATGAGCGTCTGAGGTTTGAATTTTGATATGATTGGAGATTGGACATTTACGCGTTAAATTAAATAACGATTTCTC